CTCCCTCCGGGGCCTGCCCCTACCTGCGTTCCCTGCGTCGAGGGACGGCAGCGCGCAGCCCCTCACTCCTCCGAGTTTCCTCCGACAGAGGCTCCCCTGCAGACTCTTCACATGGACGTGTGGGGCCCCGCCCGCGTCCGTGGCCAGGGTCACGAGCGTTACTTCCTGTTGGTGGTTGACGACTACTCGCGTTACACCACGGTGTTCCCCTTGCGCAGCAAGGGTGACGTCACTGAGGTGTTGATGGACTGGATCCGCGCAGCTCGTCTCCAGCTCAGAGAGAGTTTCGGCTCGGACTTTCCTGTTCTGCGTCTGCACTCTGACAGAGGCGGGGAGTTTTCCTCTGCCCGTCTGGGAGCCTTCTGTCGTGCACAGGGCATCCGCCAAACCTTCACGCTTCCGGCCTCTCCACAGCAAAATGGGATTGCTGAGCGCCGCATTGGCATGGTCATGGACGTCGCTCGTACGTCCATGATCCATGCGGCTGCTCCCCATTTTCTGTGGCCGTTTGCGGTTCAGTACGCAGCGCATCAGCTCAACCTTCAGCCCCGGGTCTCCTTGCCAGAGACCTCCCCCACCTTGCGGTGGACGGGGAAAGTTGGCGATGCGTCTGCGTTTCGGGTCTGGGGATCTCGGGCGTTTGTCCGCGACTTGTCTGCGGACAAGCTGTCCCCCCGTGCTGTTCCCTGCGTCTTCCTTGGCTTCCCCCCTGACGCGCCTGGTTGGCAGTTTTACCACCCCACCTCGCGCCGTGTTCTGTCCTCCCAGGACGTCACCTTTGACGAGTCGGTGCCTTACTACCGTCTCTTCCCCTACCGCAATGCGCCCCTCCCCCCGCCGCCGCTCTTCCTTGCGCCAGGCCCCCCTCCGGTAGACCCCCTCCCCCCTCAGGGTCCTGCCCCGTCAGGTGTGTCCCAGGTAGACGTAGTCGAGCCTGTCGAGGTAGCTGTTGAATCTGGTGCTGCTAGGGGCGCTGAGCCTGCGGGTGCTGGGTCTGGGGGTGCTGAGCCTGGGGGTGCGGAGCCTGGGGGTGCTGAGCCTAGGAGTGCTGAGCCTGGGGGTGCTGAGTCTGGGGGTGCTGAGCCTGGGGGTGCGGAGCCTAGGGGTGCTGAGCCTGGGGGTTTGGAGCCTGGGGGTGCAGAGCCTGGGGGTGCTGGGTCTGCTCGTGTGGCCTCTGGCGGTGCTTCGTCGAGGCGGGAGCTACTCTCTCCGCAGGAGCTGCGCGAGTGGTTTGCCCGGCGCTGGAGCCGTGCTGCTGGAGCTGGAGGTACTACTGTTGCTGCTGGTCCTGGAGGTGCTCGTACTGGCGGTACTGGAGCTGTAGGGACTGGGGGTGCTGCTGGGGCTGCTGGAGTTAGTCCTGCTGGAGGTACTGCTGGAGTTGCTGGCGGTACTGGAGCTGACGGTCCTGCTGGAGTTGGTGCTGCTGGAGCTGCTGGAGCTGCTGGAGCTGGAGCTGCTGGGGGTGTTGGCGCTGGTGCTTCTGATGGTGCTGGACTTGGCGCTGTTGGAGCTGGAGGTGCTGCTGGCGCTGGTGCTGCCGCTGGGGGTACTGGTGATGTCCCTGCTGGTTCTGGAGGCGCTGCGCGGCCGAGGCCGTACTTCGTTCCGCTCCTTGAGCAGGTTCTTGGTCTCCCGCCCTCTACTGGTCCTGCTCCTCCCTTAGAGTGTCCACAGCCTGTCCAGTCGCGGTCACAGTTACAGCCCGCCTCCTCCCTACCTGCTCGTACTGGAGGTCTTGCTGAGCGTCGTGAGCCTGCGTCTCGTCCTGCGTCGCCTGTTCGTGCTGCTCGCACTAGTGGTCGTGCTCCGCGTCCGCGTCCTCCTGCGGTCCCAGGCACACACCAGATGACACTGCGTCCTTCCACTGCTCCTCTGCGTGTCCCGTTGCCGTCTCCTCCAGAGTCCTCTCTTCCTGTTCTTGCTGACCCGGAGTCTGACTCTCTTCGTGCTGCCAGTCCTACTGTCACGCGTCTCCTGGCCACTGTTGTCACTGACCCTTCCTTTGAGTCCACTGCTGCGTCTGCCTTAGTTGCTGAGCTTGTCGACTTTGCTGCTCGCTGTCGTCTAGACTACGCCGCTAGTCTCGTTACTGAGTCTGAGTCTGTCTGTCCTCCGTCCGTCGGGGGTGAGTGTGCTCTTAGCACAGACGTCCTTGAGGACAGGCAGGAGGAGTTCCAGTGTTTTGCTGCTGCTTTGCCTCATCTCGTGTCCACGCTGATTGCCCCTGAGGGAGACCCGGATGCACCAGACATCCCGACTCTTCGATCGTACGCTGAGGCGATCGAGGGTCCCTACTCCTCACAGTGGCAGTCAGCCATGGACGCAGAGATGGCTTCCTGGAAATCCACAGGCACCTACGTCGACGAGGTTCCCCCACCTGGGGCGAACATCGTCAGTGGCATGTGGATTTTCAGGGTGAAGCGGCCGCCGGGTTCTCCGCCTGTCTTCAAGGCGCGTTACGTGGCTCGAGGCTTCAGTCAGCGGCAGGGAGTTGACTACTTTCAGACCTTCTCTCCCACCCCGAAGATGACCACTCTTCGGGTGCTGCTGCACATAGCCGCTCAGCGCGACTACGAGCTTCACTCTCTTGACTTCAGCACAGCTTTCCTGCAGGGCAGCCTGCACGAGGAGATCTGGCTGCGCCGCCCACCTGGCTTCACTGGGTCGTTTCCTCCTGGTACCCAGTGGAGCCTCCGGCGGCCAGTCTACGGTCTCCGCCAGGCGCCCCGTGAGTGGCACGACACACTGAGGACTACACTTGCGGCTCTTGGGTTTGCTCCTTCTACTGCCGACCCGTCGCTGTTTCTGCGCACCGACACCTCTTTGCCGCCGTTCTACATCCTCGTGTACGTCGACGACTTGGTCTTTGCCACTGCTGACACTGCTGGACTCGCCCACGTGAAGTCCGAGCTGCAGAAGAGACACACGTGCATAGACCTGGGTGAACTGCGCAGCTACCTTGGCTTGCAGATCACCCGGGACAGAGCACAGCGCACCATTACCCTGATTCAGTCACACATGGTGCAGCAGGTCCTTCAGCGCTTCGACTTCACGTACTCCTCGCCTCAGGCCACTACTCTGTCTACTCGCCACTCGCTCTCAGCTCTGCCTTCGGATGAGTCCGTAGAGCCGAGTGGCCCGTACCCAGAGCTTGTTGGCTGCCTCATGTACCTGATGACCTGCACACGACCTGACCTAGCATACCCTCTTAGCATCTTGGCACGCTATGTTGCTCCTGGGAGACACCGACCAGAGCACATGGCTGCAGCGAAGAGGGTGTTGCGCTACTTGTGCAGTACGTCGGGCATGGGGCTAGTGCTTGGAGGGCGACGTCGAGTGGTCCTCACAGGTCACGCAGACGCTTCTTGGGCTGACGACCAGGCTACGCAGCGGTCGTCACAGGGTTACACCTTCAGCCTTGGCTCCGGCTCTGTTTCGTGGCGGTCTACTCGCTCGTCTTCTGTTCTCGGCTCCAGCTGTGAGGCTGAGATCTACGCGGGGGCCATGGCTGCACAGGAGCTACGCTGGCTCACCTACCTGCTGACTGACCTAGGAGAGCCGCCTCGTTCTCCTCCAGTTCTGTACGTAGACAACAAGGCCATGCTGGCCTTGTGTCGGGAGCACAGACTGGAGCACAGAACGAAGCACATTGTTCTTCGCTACTTCCTTGCTCGTGAGCTGCAGCAGCGTGGTCAGCTGCGCCTTGCTTACGTGGCCTCTGAGGCCAACACTGCTGATATCTTTACCAAGGCACTTCCGCCTTGTGATCATCAGCGCTTCTGTACGATGCTAGGTCTTGTGCCTACTTGGCCTCACTTGCTCACTTCTTGACCTTGCTTGTAATGTGATATTTCTTTACCTGCACTTGCTTGTTTACCTTTATATATGATCTTGCATGTGAACTGGCCTTGTGGCCTTGCTCTTGTGCTCGGAATGTGTGGTAACGTTGTGATCCACCCTGAGCTTGCTTTTCTTTGTTTGACTGGTCTTGTGACCTCTTGTTCTCCTCCACTTTGCCTATGGGGGTATGTCAAACTCATATGTTATAGTCCGTGTAGGCTGTAGTGGGGTAGACAATATGGGGTACAACTCTATTGGGTTTTCCTACTTGTACCCACCTGCTTGCTAGTTCATTCATCCCTCATTTCTTCACACATGCGACTGAGGGTGTACCTGTAACTGAAATGGTTGCTGAATGAGGAGTCATAGGGAGGGCTGCAGTATGCACTGTAAAAGGCGGAGGGGGCAGGAAGAGATGTGATGGGAGTGCTCTGGGGGAAGCATGTGCTGCAGCTGGTGGTGCTGCTGCTGATGGTGCTGCTGCTGATGGTGCTGCTACAGGTGACGGTAGTGGTGGTGCTGATGGTACTGCAGCTGAATGTGCTGCTGTATGTGATGGTACTGCTGCTGCGGATGGTACCGCTGATGAAGGAGGAGAGGTTGGGAGGACACTGGCAGTGCTGCCAGGGACTGGATGAGGTAAGGGCAAAAGAAAAAGAGCAGAAGCAGTCAGCCTGGATGGGGTGGCAGGAGCAGGTGGATCAGCACGAGCAAGATAAGATGCAAGCCCTGCAGGTGCTGTTGAATCTCCAGAGGATAGCAAAGCAGCAAGCGAAAGAAACTCGGCTGCAGCAGCAGCAGCCGTAGCAGTAGCTGGAGCAGCAGCAGCAGCAGCAGCCATAGCAGTAGCTGCAGCAGCAGCAGTAGCAGCAGTAGGTGCAGTAGGAGCAGCGTTGGGAGTAGCAGTAGAAGAAGCAGTAGCAGTATCTGCTGCTGCAGCAGCAGTAGCAGTAGGTGCGGTAGGAGCAGTATTAACAGAAGCAGTAGCAGTAGCAGCATCAGCAGTGCCGGGAGGAGGCAGAACTACTGAAACAGATTGTTCTGCTTCTTTTCCGCCTGACAGTTTCCCTTCTCCCTCCATTATTTTGGAGAGCATGTTGTCTCCTCGTTGGCATCCCAATCCCCTCTCCGTGCCTCCTTTGCTGCTCTGCACAATGTCATTCTGATCTGCACAGTCCTTGGGTGGCGCTCGCGGTGGGTGCTGCTGCTGCTGCTGCTGCTGCTGCTGCTGGTGTTTCTGCCATTGCTGCTCCTGCAGGCACTGCTGTGGCGCACCTGTGAAGCTTCTAGCACACAAGTCATGTGGCGCTGCTGATGGAGCTGCTACCACTGCACCCACATTAAATCCTCTTACGTCTGGCAGAAAGGGCCCAATCGTCCCCAATGCTTTGGCAAGGACAGAAAGAGGTGGTACAGCCAGGTTACATTTGTAACCTGCTGGAAATGTAGGTACTATTGCCTTAGTGACTCTTTCTGATCCAGCCGCTCCCACTGGCTCCACTGTTCCTGCTGTTCCTCTTGCTCTTGCTTCTCCTGTTGCTCCTCCTGATCCTGCTGCTCCTCCTGCTCCTGCTGCTCCTCCTGCTCCTGCTTCTCCCACTGCTGCTGCTGCTCGTCCTGCTCCAGCTCTGCTCATTCCCATGATGCCGGTGCTGCTCGCGAATATGCTGCCTAGTGATACACGACCATCTACTGACACATTGTTATTTTGAGACAGTGACAGGCTGGCACTGGTAGCAGAAGGCGCACAGAAGCCACCGCCGCTGCTGCTGGTGGTGGTGGTGGTGATAATACTGCTACTGCTGCTCCAAGCAGCAGCAGTAATACCCGGTCGCATAACCTCTTTACTAACCTGTTGTTGCTGCTGTTGCTGCTGTTCCTGATGTTGCTTGGTGATGTGCCCTGCTGCTCGCTGCTTGCTGCATGCTGCCCGTTGCACGTTCAAACCAAAAGTACGACCGAAGTGCCCATCACCAGCACCAATGGTGCAGGCACCAGTAGCAATCTTGCCATTGCTGGCGGTGTGAGCAGCTGCTGTAGCAGTGGCAGCATCAGCAGCAGTAGCAGGTGCCAAGGTAGCAACTAGTGGGGAAGCAGCCCCCACTAGGGCCGCCGTCGCGGCCGCTGCTGCTGCTACCGCCACCGGATCAGCGGCAGGAGTGACTGCAGCGGCAGCAGCAGCGGCAGCGGCGGCGGCAGCAGCTTCGGCGGCAGCTTCGGCCCGAAGCTCTTCCTTGAGCTCGGCAGCAAACTGGGCGGCGAGGGAGAGTGTGGCAGAGCGGGGACGGTCGGGAGGAGGGTGCGAGTGCTGCCCTAGAAACACCACACGCGGCTGTAGCTGATTGTGGGACTGCGGCTGTAGCGGCAGCTGTGGCTGTGGCTGTGGCGGTGGCTGTGGCTGTAGTGGCAGCTGTGGCTGTAGCGGCAGCTGTGGCTGTGGCTGTGGCGGTGGCTGTGGCTGTAGTGGCAGCTGTGGCTGTAGCGGCAGCTGTGGCTGTAGCGGCAGCTGTGGCTGTGGCTGTGGCGATGGCTGTGGGTGGAGCTGTGGGTGGGGCTGTGGCTGTGGCTGCTGACTGAAGGATGGCTGGGGAAAGGACGGGTGAGGAAAGGACGGTTGGGGGAGGGATGGATAATGGAAGGATGATAGAAGTTGGGGAGGAGAGGAGGGGTTCTGGATGGGCACGTCAACGGTCTTCTTGGCCTTGCACCCTGCTGCGTGCTGGGCACACCGGAAATAGGCTCTGGAGGCAAGGGTTGGGTTGCGAGAAATGTGGAAAAGCAAGGATAGGAGAGAGAAGCAATGGGGTTTTGACAAGGAGGCTCGAAGGCTCAGGGTTTAGGGTATGGGAAGAGTATTAGAAGAAAGTAATTACCATTGTTCTCTTGCCTGGCAGCTTGACCTGTGGTGGGAGGAGCACATTCTAAAAACAAAGAGTCGTCACGTTTGATAAGCATGTAACATACACACAAAAGTTTACATTGGACTTAACACTGATGAAAGCTTTAAGGTTAACAAAGATTGTTACTTTTGTGAAGGTTGTAACATTTGCTAAGATGCAACATCTATAGAGGATGTAAACTTGATGAAGGATAAGACTGCATTCACAAAAGGTTTTATTTAAGAGGGACATAACATAAATGCATTCGCAAATGATGTAATACATCTGCAAAATGTTATAATCACAAAGGATGGAAACATCCAGGAAGAATTCAGCACTCATAACGGGTGTAACATCGCTATACATTCACAAAGGACGTAACATTCACAAAGGACAGAACATTTACGAAGGACATAGCATATACAAAGGACGTAACACTTACAAAGCACATAACTTATTCGCACTCACCATACTCATTGCATGTATACTCTCACTCACACTCACTGCATGTATGCATCACGTACTCACTGTGTACACACATTCACACTCACTGTGTGTACTCGTTCACACCGCGTGTATACTCTCACTCAAACTCACCCTCACTACTCGCTCACACTCACCGCGTGTATACCCGCTCCATGAGCACCTTCTGTCCGTATTTCAGCCAGTGGTACAGGTCCTCTCCACTCCCCTCTCTCTCCTCCCCACAGCCCAGCTCCTCCCGCTCTCCACAGCCCTTCTCTTCTCCTCCCTGTCCCCCATCCATCGTTCCCTCCTGACCCCCTTCTCTCGCTCCTTCCGTTGCTCCCTCCATTGCTCCCTCCGTTGCTCCCTCCGTTGCTCCCTCCGTTGCTCCCTCCGTTGCCCCCTCCGTTGCTCCCTCCGTTGCTCCCTCCGTTGCTCCCTCCGTTGCTCCCTCCGTTGCTCCCTCCGTTGCTCCCTCCATTGCTCCCTCCGTTGCTCCCTCCATTGCTCCCTCCGTTGCTCTGTCCATTGCTCCCTCGTTCTCTCCCTTATTTGCGGCCCCCATTGCTCCCTCCCTTGCTCGCTCATTTGCTCCTCGGAGGGTCTCTTTCTGGGCCTCGTCCTTAGCCCACTCCTTCACCTCCTTCTGATTCAGAATCATCACTCGAGTGTCCAGGAAAGCGGCCTCTCTCGGCCTCTCAACCATTGGCTGCTGAAACGTCAGTGGCTCCTCCTTTACCACCTGCGCTTGCCCCTCCTGTCCCTCCACTTGACCCTCTCCTGTCTTCAACCCCCCATCTGACCATGTTCCAATCCTCCTCCTTTTCTTAGCCACCCCAGCCACCTCTCTCTCCCCCACTTCTCTATAACAAAAGCCCTTCCTTTCGTCGTCGTCCAAAACTGGTCTCGCGTTTGCTAATCCAGACACTGTCACCACTGCTCTCTCCTTCCCTGCCCCAGACTCCTCAAGCAGCTTTGCACCGTAGCACTCACCTACTCTGGTACCACCCGCCACGCCCCTCCCACCACCTCTACTCGTCCCTTCCACACTCCCGCTCTGCAGTGTCTCTTGCTCCACTCGTTTCTCACGCACTCCTGCCCTTCCACCTACTACCTCACCTCTCCCCCCTTTAGACGCCACAACATGGGCGACAGACCCTAAGCCCTGTGGTGCCACCGTTCCCTCTCCCTGCAGCCCTTCCCTTTCCACTGCCCGTGCTCCTCTCTCCCTCCAAGCATCCCATCTCAGTACTCCTTTCCCTTTGCCCCTTACCCCTCCTTCTCCCCTGCTTCCCCAAAGTATCTCACGTTCAATCCTAGCCTTATCCCTCTCGTCTCCTGAACCCATCTCAACTCCTCTTGCTTCCAGCCTCATTCCATCACCACCCAACTGCTGGATCTCCCCTTTCCCCTCCTCCAACCGCTCCAAACCACGATGCTCCACAAGAAGCCGTGCATTCCTGTGCGCCTCCTGCACGCATGCTCGCTCCATTTCTTGCTCGCCTGTGTGAACCGCCTCCTCAGGCGTTTGCTTATCCTCGTGCTGCTGACGTTGCTCCTCGTGTCCGTCTTCCTGGTTTCTACCCCTTGGATTCTTAGTCGCTCCCACCTCGTGCAATCCTCTGAAGCATGCTTGCTGGTGTGGGGAAGCGCTGTGGGAGTGGGTACGTGTACCCGTGCCTTGAGGCGATGCTTCTTGACTGCTACGGTAAATGTCTTCATGGTATTGGAGTGGAAGTCTGTGGAATGGGGATTGGTGAAAGAAAGGGAAGAGGTAGAGCAAGTGAAATGTAGAAGGGGGGTGGGGGGGGGGGGGAGAGGGGGGAGGGGGGGGGGGTGGGCGGGAGAGAGAGGTTTGGAGGGGAGAAGAGGTGGAGGTGGATGGGAGAGGGAGAATTAAAGGAAGAGGGAGAGGGACAGGGAGGGAGTGAAGGAAGGAGGGCCGGAGGAAAGAAAGAGAGTGATCAAGGGGGAAGAGGGAGGGAGGGAGGGAGGGAGGGAGGGAGGGAGGGAGGGAGGGAGGGAGGGAGGGAGGGAAGGAGGGAGGGAGGGAGGGAGGGAGTGAGGGAGGGAGTGAGGGAGGGAGGGAGTGAGGGAGTGAGGGAGGGAGGGAGGGGGGGAGGGAGGGAGGGGGGGAGGGAGGGAGGGGGGGAGGGAGGGAGGGAGGGAGGGAGGGAGGGAGGGGGGGAGGGAGGGGGGGGGGAAGGGAGGGAGGGAGGGAGGGAGGGAGGGAGGGAGGGAGGGAGGGAGGGAGGGAGGGAGGGAGGGAGGGAGGGAGGGAGGGAAGGGTGGGAGGGAGGGAGGGAGGGAGGGAGGGAGGGAGGGAGGGAGGGAGGGAGGGAGGGAGGGAGGGAGGGAGGGAGGGAAGGGTGGGAGGGAGGGAGGGAGGGAAGGGTGGGAGGGAGGGAGGGACGGACGGACGGACGGACGGAGGGTGGGAGGGAGGGAGGGAAGAGAGGGAGGGAGGGAGGGAGGGAGGGAAGAGAGGGAGGGAGGGAGGGAGGGAGGGAGGGAGGGAGGGAGGGAGGGAGGGAGGGAGGGAGGGAGGGAGGGAGGGAGGGAGGGAGGGAGGGAGGGAGGGAGGGAGGGAGGGAGGGAGGGAGGGAGGCACGGGGTGAGGGAGAGAAGATGGCTTGAAGAGGTAAAGAGGGAGTGAAGGAGAGAGAGAGGGAGAGAGAGAGAGAGAGAGAGAGAGAGAGAGAGAGAGAGAGAGAGAGAGAGAGGGAGGTTTGGAGAGTTGGGAGAGAGAGAGAAAAAAGATTTAGTCAAGCGGAGAACAAAAGCACGTGGACAAACGAGCACATTGCTGGAAGCAAGGAGAATATGGCCCTTTTCTTTGGTCTCTTAGACTCGTGCAGCTAGCATGACAAAGAAGATCCTCATTGTCCAATGAAGCTCATCTCTTGTGAAGTGTTTTATTGTCAAGTGGATGCTCGTTTTTCATTAGTATTTTTTTGAAGCGACCTATAGCAACTTTACTACCTCTCGCTATTTGTGTCGTCAAAGATCGCAGGTCCAGAACCGATAAATGCTCCACTTTCGAGGATATCATGTTCTCCTGGAAATCGCCGCGGCGGTTCTGTCGGCACGGCATTATCCGGCGCTGCCACACAGTTCAGTGGCGTCTGCAAAGTTTCTCTCTCGGCATTCGACGCTGGGATGGCGGCTTCACATGATTCGATCCGATCGTTGGATGAGCGAATAACGCCGCGCCGCCCGCGGGCAGGAACGTGTGCTGGGAGGAAATGCTGCAAAGTTAGGTTCTTAGGAAGGTGGGGAACTCTCCCGATCTGGGGTCTTTCCGAATCGTCAGCGGCGAGACTGGAGCTGCTACGAGAACCTGTCACGTCCTGCCCTACGACCAAGCAATGATCCGTGTTCTCTGCCAGAGGTGATGAACTATAGTAACTGGTAGTAGCAGTGTTAGTGGTTCCGATCAATGCTCCTTGTTCGTCCTTCATTGTTGCTGCTCCCAGTTGTTTGCTGCCTGCCGCGAGCTAGCCTGCGCCTCTCAAATGTGGGGGGCTTGTTGTGTTCTGGGTGGTGCGTCCGACCACTAAGTTACCCAAGATTCTGCTGCCTGTATGGTACATGTACTGAATTTAGAAAGATTGCTTTCTTGTGTTTGCAATGGCAACGAGCTTCGTTTCAAATGGGCATTACATCATTCTCGTCCGGGATATATATGGTACCTACATTACACATGACAACATGCAATTTTTGCTAGGGTGGGTGGGTGGGAAATAAGACATTTGAAATTTCAAACGAAGACGTGGGTGGAGGTCAAATGGCCTCCACCCCCTACTATATAGTTGGCGAAGAGCGTCTAGCACTTCGCCGTTGCCATTGCTGCATTACAAGCAGCTTCGCTTTCAAAATACACATTTTTAGAAAGTGTTACACACTTTCAAAAAAAATCATTTCATTTGGAGTGGGTTGCAGATGTGAAGCTTTCAGAGAGCTGAGCTAGTAAGGGTTGGTGTTACGAGTGCAATTGAGTGAACGAACGAGAATTGCACTATCGAAGCAAGAGTACAATGAGCGAAAGCCTGAGCGAAGAATATATAGCGAAACTACAGTGGTAACGGTAATGGACTGTGGTTGACGCGCGACGGGCCTGAGACTGAGGTTGGGAAAGTGTCGAAGCGGAGGCCCGGAGCGCGGGTTACCCGCCGAGCCGTGAGGTCGGGGTGCGACGTGCGAAGATGGCGGGCGGATTGTCGATGCGAGGATTGCGAGTGGTAACGGTGCTGACTGTGGTGCTACAGTGATGTACGCGTTGAGCAGGGACGCGAAGTAAGGAAAAGGGATTTTCCTTACACTACCCCCCCCCCCCCCCCCCTAAGGAGGTCCGCATTACGAGAGTGCGTGGACATCCCTTAAATTTCGGCTGCGCAGATACTCAGTGAGGACGGGGTGGTTTTCGATTCTGTCCAGGGGAACCCAATTGTCTTCGGTGGGTGTACGGTCCTTCCAGCGGAGTAAGAACTCGATCCTTCGGGCTCCTCGAGGGTCGCGAACTCTATGACTCAGGATTTTCTCGGGGGTGATGATTGGTTCAGTCGGTGGTCTTGTCATGCTGGCTGGGCGATTGCGTGGCAGTTGGCTCGTGGACGGGACGTAAGGGCGAAGCAGGCTGACGTGGAACGAGGGGCTGACGTACCAGTCAGCAGGGAGGAGGAGGTGGGCGGTGACAGGTGTAAGCATGTGGCTTATGCGAAATGGCCCGCAGTATCGGGGGCGGAGTTTCGGGGTGATGGGCAGTCGGAGATTTTGGGTGTCGAGCAAGACTAAGTCGTCGGGCTGGTAAGTGACATGTCTGCGGTGGCGGTCGGCGTTGCGTTTAGCGATGATGTTGGCCTTTTTAATTGCGTCTGCTGCCCTGGTCCGTGCTGCTTGCAAAATTTCGGCGAACTGTTGCGCGCGTGGAACCGGGTTGTCGGGATTCGGGGTCATGGGTACTGTTGGGTCTTGTCCGTAATTCAGGTAAAACGGTGACTGTTGGGTCGTGGCGGATGGGGCGTTGTTGTATGCGAATTCGATGAGTGGCAGTTGTTGTTCCCACGTGTTTGGGTCGTCGCACGTGGCCCGGATGAGCTGTTCCATGGTCTGATTTGTCCGTTCTGTCTGTCCGTCTGTTTCGGGGTGGTACGATGAACTAAACTGTAGTCGCGTGCCGAACTGCTGCCACAGGTTCCGCCAGAAGTTGCTGGTGAATTTCGTGTCTCTGTCGCTGATGATTGATGCTGGTATCCCATGCAGTCGAACGACGGTAGAGATGAAGAGGCGGGCTGTTTCTTCGGCTGTGATTGATTTTTTGCAGGCTGCGAAGTGTGCCATTTTCGTCAGTCGATCGACGACGACCAGGATCGCGTCATTTCCACCTGCCCCGGCCGGTAACCCCGTGACGAAGTCCATCGTCACCTGCTGCCAAGCACGCTCTGGAGGTGGGATTGGCTGCAACTGTCCCGCCGGCCGCTTCCGTGTTGACTTCATGATCTGGCAAGTGGGACACGATGCCACGTGTCGCTGCACGTCGGTCAACATTTCGGGCCAGTAATAATACCGCTGCAGCTGCTGCCGTGTTTTCTCTACCCCGAAATGTCCCGAGGTAACCCCGTCGTGTGCCTCCTGTAGTAGTAATTCCCGTAGCAGTGTGTACCCTGGTACCCAGATGCGGTCGGTCCCGGCTTTTACGTAATAGACTCCCTTGGCTGCTGCGAACTGCTGCGAATTTCCTCCTGTGAAGAATGGGTCTGTTTGATATCCGTGGGTAAATAGTCCTGTCAGTAGCGGGCTGGTCTGGGCGAGTAGTATCGCGTGGATCTGGGCAGTGGGGCGGGTCAGTGCGTCAGCGATGTTCGAGGCTCCCTTTTTGTAAGTGACCGTATAGTGAAAATTGGACTCGAGGAAATCGAGCCAGCGAATCTGTCGTGGGTTGAGGTGTGGCTGTGCGCGAAGGTACTGTAGTGATTTATGGTCTGTCCGTACTGTCACGTCTGCGCCGGTCAAGTAGCAGCGCCACACTTTGAACGCATGCACGATCGCGAGCATTTCGCGGTCGTGTATCGGGTAATTTCGCTCTGGCGGATGCAGTTTTCGTGACTCGTATGCGATGGGCTGTAGGCCGTTGCCGAAGTCCTGTAGCAGTACGGCTCCAATGGCGATGTCGCTTGCGTCTGTAACAACCTCGAAGGGGCGGTGTGGGTCGGCGATGCGCAGGACGGGCGGTGAACAGAGAACATTTTTCAGGGCAGAGAAGGCAGCATGCTCTTTCTCCCCCCACGTGAAAACGACCCCCTTTCGCAGTAAATCCGTCAGCGGGGCAGTCAATTGTGCCATGTCGGGGACGAACCGACGAACATAATTAACGAACCCTAAAAAACTCTGCAGTTCCGTGATGTTCGTCGGGGGACGCCACGCTTTTACCGTATCCAGCTTCTTTGGGTCGATTTCAACTCCAGCCTCTGAAATAACGTGCCCCAAAAATTCTAGTTTGTCCCGAAAAAACTCGCACTTAGAGCCCTTGGTGAGTAACCGATGTTCCTCTAAAACTTTAAACACTGCTTCGAGATCCGCTAAATGCTGCTCCTTGTCGCGACTGTAGACGAGGATGTCGTCGAGGTAAACTATCACGCATTTATCTAAGAGTGGCCTAAACGCCTTGTTCATGGTCATCTGAAATGTTGCGGGCGCGTTGGTCAGCCCGAAAGGCATCACCGTGTACTCAAATGACCCGTACCTAGTCCTAAATGCTGTCTTGGCGCAGTCCGATGGTTCGACCCGAATCTGATGGTAACCCCCCCGTAAGTCTATTTTCGAAAACACCCGTGCTGTTCGCAGTTGGTCGATCAGTTCGTCGGCGCGGGGAATGGGGTACCGCGACTTGACTGTTACCCTGTTGAGCGCTCGGTAATCGATGCACATGCGAAACCCTCCGTCTTTTTTCGGTGTGAACAGTATCGGTGCGGCGAACGGTGACGAACTTGGTCGAATAAACTGCTTCTCTAACAAATAATCTAACTGCTTCCTTAGTTCGTCGAGCTCGGGATGTGTCAGTCTGAACTGGCGTTGTACAGTTGGCTGTGCCCCCGGTTCTAACTCGATCCTATGATCATGCGCCCGCTGAGGTGGCAGCCCTTCCGGTAAGTCATCTGGAAAAATCCCTGGGTACCGTTTCAACAGTTCCTGTAGTTCGGGCGGTACTGCTGCCAACAGTTTCTGAAAATCACTCGGCTGCTCCGTTTCTCCTACTAATGCTGTGAGGATTACCCGGAGTCTGACTCTCTTCATGCTGCCAGTCCTACTGTCACGCGTCTCCTTGCTACTGTTGTCACTGACCCTTCTTTTGAGTCCACTGCTGCGTCTGCCTTAGTTGCTGAGCTTGTCGACTTCGCTGCTCACTGTCGTCTAGACTACGCCGCTAGTCTTGTTGCTGAGTCTGAGTCTGTCTGTCCTCCGTCCGTCGGGGGTGAGTGTGCTCTTGGCACGGACGTCCTTGAGGACAGGCAGGAGGAGTTCCACTGTTTTGCTGCTGCTTTACCCCATCTCGTGGCCATGCTGCTTGCCCCTGAGGGAGACCCGGATGCACCAGACATCCCGACCCCACGCTCTTACGCAGAGGCGATAGAGGGTCCCTACTCCTCTCAGTGGCAGACAGTCATGGACGCAGAGATGGCTTCCTGGAAGTCCACAGGCACCTACGTTGACGAGGTTCCCCCCCCTGGGGCGAACATCGTCAGTGGCATGTGGATTTTCAGGGTGAAGCGGCCGCCGGGTTCTCCGCCTGTCCTCAAGGCGCGCTACGTGGCTAGGGGCTTCAGTCAGCGGCAGGGAGTTGACTACTTTCAGTCCTTCTCTCCCACCCCGAAGATGACTACTCTTTGGGTGCTGCTGCACATAGCCGCTCAGCGCGACTACGAGCTTCACTCTCTTGACTTCAGCACTGCTTTCCTGCAGGGCAGCCTGCACGAGGAGATCTGGCTGCGCCGCCCACCTGGCTTCACTGGGTCTTTTCCTCCTGGCACCCAGTGGAGCCTCCGGCGGCCAGTTTACGGTCTCCGCCAGGCGCCCCGTGAGTGGCACGACACACTG